ACTCGCGCTGGACACGCAGCCTCGCGGACGCTCTCGCTTCTTTCTGAAACTGCGGAATCGCGTTCACGCGCGAACGCCGCGGCCTTAGCGCAACGCTCAGCCCCAGCCGCGAGCCCTGCTAGCCCCAATCCCCACCCCCTCGGGCCACTTCCGGCCACTTCCGGCAGGGAGCCTCCGCGCGGGGTACGGGTGCCGAGAGGCGCGAAGTACCGGCGTGCGGCCGGGCAGGCGAGGCGCATGCGCAACGTGCGCGAGGCTGTGCGGCAGGGCGTGCGACAGGACGTGCGACAGGACGTGCGGCGGTCCGCGGGGCTGTGGGCCCGGGGATGTCCGTGCTCTTTCTAAGTGGGACGGCCTGGAGTTTTTGTGTCGGAGGACTCCGGAACTGATCGCGCCGGCGTGTGCCTAAACTTTGACCCCCAGCGCTGGGGAGGGAGCCGGGAGAAGGCGCGAACGCTGGGGCGTTCGAGGGGTGTTGGAATCGGAAGGGAAGACGCCCCAGCTACCCCGCGTGGTTTTGGGCCAGGGAGTCTCCGCGGTTCTCCACATGGAGCGTCTCGTTTAAGGGACACTAGAAAACTCATTAAGCCCAATATTATGCGATTTTACACGTGGGGAACAGGCTCCTCGCGAAGGCCGGGGAGCGCAGGGCATCGGGGCCACCCCTGCGTTCCCGCACTCGCCACTCGCTGCTCCGGGCCTCCGCTCCCTGCTCTGACCGGCGCCGCTTCCCGTTCCGTACTGGTTGGTTTGGTTTGTAGCTGGTGTAAGGCGCAGGCTCGCTGGCAGAGCCGCAGACCGGCGGAGAGAGAAGGAAACGGGTGGGGATGGCCGCGGGGTCCCTCCGTTCCCCTCGGGGCTTGGGGTATGCACGCGCGTACACCCCACGCGTTTTTCAAATCCTGTGTGGTTAGCATGTGGGTGCGGCCGCCTTAACCTCCACACCACCAGCTGGTCCCTTACTCTGGTAGTTTTTTCATCGAACGTTTCTTTTTCTTTGGAGAGGTTTTTGCTATAGGGCGCATGCCCTCGCCAGACAGACAGAGACAGACAGCCAGAAATCACCCCCCCAGGGGAAATGGCCATGCTGCAATCCCTTCTTCTACATTCTCCTCTTGGAATCTTGGACACGCACTCACACGTGCCCCATGTGAGTTAAGCCACCGGGTCCAGGACTCGAACCACAGTCGACTATGTGGGAGTCTAGTGACATAGCCATTACACTAATTCCTGGTTCCAATCGAACGTTTCTTGAAAGTTTACTGTGCTGTTGACTCCATTTCTGCTTTCTAAAGAGTTTGTGAGTAAACTGTGGTCATCAGAGAGTTAAACTGAGGCACCACCGCTGAGCTGACACTGTGGAGCTAGGAGTATAAACGCCCAGTAGTGGCAGCAAGCAGGACCTACCATCCAGGACATGGGGAGGTCTGGAAGAGAGCATGAATGCGGAAGTAACTTGAGGGGTGCATAAGCTTAGGTAAAGAAAAGAGGAAAGGGAATTCCAGGCAATGGGAACAGCCTGTACCAAGGTAGGTTGCGTTAAGAATTAGGCTATAGATCTGAAGTTAGGAGTAAGAAATGAGTAGAAAAGGACTAAGTCACAAATCCTAGAGGACTTTGCATGCCAGACTAATGAATAGATAAGAGCTTAAAAAAAAAAAAGTAAAAAGACACCCTGGCAGGACCAGTGGGTGGTGTGGTATAGTGCTGGACTCCCACATGGCTGACTGTGATTTAAGTCCCAGACCCAGTGACTTGAAACTCACACCAGGTATGTACGCATGTGTAACCAAAATCCCGAGGAGAAGAGATTGTGGCAGAGCCATCCCCTTTAAGGGGGGCAGGGGTGATTTCTCACTTTCTCTCTCTCTGTCTCTGTCTCGCTCCAGGGAGCTCATGAACCCTATGGCAAAAACCTAAAATATAAAATAAACAAACAAAGAAAAGGAGGGAACCAGCAGTTAGCGTAAGTAATGGCTATGTTGCTGGACTCCCACGTAGTCGACCACGGTTTGCGTCCCTGACCCGGTGGCTTAAAACTCACGCCGGGTGCGTGTGCGTGCGTGCCCAAGATCCCGAGAGGAGAATGGAGGAGAAGGGATTGTGGTGTGACCATCCCCCGGGGGGGTGATTTCTCGCTTTCTGTCTCTATGTCTCTCTCTGTCTGTCTGGCGAGTGCACGTGCCCTATAGCGAAAATCTCTCAAAAAAAAGAAGAAAGAAAAGGAAAAACCCTGGCTACAGTGTAGAGAAAATCTTGGGCAAGGAGTACCTGGAGGAAAAAAGATCAGATAGGAGCTTTGCACAAGTCTGAGAGAAAATTTTCAGAGAGTTTTTTTTTTTTGAGAGTTGTTTTTGTTTTAATGTGAGATTTTGCCATAGGGCATGTGCACTCGCAGGAGACACAGAAAGAGACAGAAAGTGAGAAATCATCCCAGGTTCCTGTGCACACGGCCTGCTGTGAGTTTTACGCCCCCAGGTCTGGAACTTGAACCCGGTTGAATACATGGGAGTCCAGTGACATAACCATTATGCCTCCTGCTGGTCCCTAAGTCTTTAAAAAGATAAAAGAGAAAGAATGATTTAATGAGTAACCAGAAGTAGGTGTCTAGGTTCCTGCTGTGGGTGGTCATGGGAGTACTTTTTCTGAGCTGGAAAACAGGCCCACGTTAGTGAGGAGGGAAGTCTGTGGAAGTCTGAGCACGCGGTATCTGTGGGACACCCAGATGGCAAAGTTCAGGGAAGAGCAGGCCTGTAGTACAGCTTTCAAAGTCAGAGCTTCATAGATGGTGACCAGAGGCAGGAGATGAACGAGGCCATTCTGGAAGTGTGCAGGATGGGAAGAGAAGAGGGCCAATGGCAGGTCCTGGGAGCTCAGCAGTTATTAGAGCTGCATACACCGCAGGGCTCAGGACCTGCCTCCTGACTGACCTGGTGGGTTACAGACAGGGCAGAGTGACAAGCTCTTCGTGCTAACGGATTACAGGAGTTTGTAAAATTGCTGGGCCTCTCATTCCTACACAGACACTAATTTCAGAAGAAATTAGGCTGCTGGTTTTGTGGCCTGGTGGTTAAGGCAGCCAGATTCCATATGGCTATTCTCATGGTTTGACTCCTGGACTTGGTGGCTTGAAGAACACTCTGGGCACATGTGGCCAAAATCCTGAAGGAGGGAGAGATGAAGGAGAAGGGATTCTTCATGTGTGTGTGGAGGGGAGCTTTCTCCTCCTCGGGCCTCTGTCTCTCTCTTTCGAATCCCAGCCTGCCAGTTCGAAAAACGTGGGTGTGTGTGGGTGCACGCCCCAAATCCCAACAGGATGAAGAGTCTGTTCCACAGATACCTTGCGCTCAATGCACAAGGAAAGACTTCTGCTCCTGCCTCTCCTTGATTCCTTTCTTCTCACTCCCCCCCCACCATCTTCCCACAGTCTCCAGTATCCATAACCGTGTCCGTGCTTCTATATCCTCTAATCTTTAAGTTTTCGCCATAGAGTGTGGACAGCAGTATATATACAGTTCTTTTTTTTTTTTTTTTTTTTTTTTTTTGAGAGAGATTTTTGCTATAGGGCACGTGTGCTCAGAAGACAAAATGATAGAAAGCGAGAAATCACCTCCTGGGGGGATGGACATCCTGTAGTCCCTTCTCCTCCATTCTCTTCTTGAGATATTGAATACACACACACACTTGGCATGAGTTTTTGTTTTGTTTTTTAAGTTATCTTATTTAACTTTATTTTTATTTTATTTATTTTAAAAAGAATTATTTAATTTTATTTGTTCATTAATTTATTTTTAATTTGACCAGAGAGAGAGAGAGAGATTGAGAAAGTGAGAAACCAAGCCACCAGGTCCAGGACTTGAACCGTGATCAGCCATGTGTGACTGTCCAGTGCTTTAATCACTGTGCCACCTGCTGGCCCCGTATTTTTATTTTATTTTATTTTAATTTGACCAGAAAGAATAGAGTGAGAGAGGGGGGAGAGCAAGAGAATGAGAGAGAGGGAAAGTGAGAAAGCAAACTGCAAGTTTCGAGTCTTGAACCATGGTTGGCCATGTGGGAGTCTAGTGCCCTTAACCACCTCTCTACCTGTTGGCCCTGTGGTATGAGTTTTAAGCTACCAAGTCCAAGATTCTAACTGTAGTCTACTATGTGGGGGTCCAGCAATGTAACCATTATGCCACCTTCTGATCCCAACAGTCAATATATATTAAGTGGAGACATACAATGTCTCTCTTTCATAGACTAACTTGCTTCATTCAGCAGTAAATCTTCCATATTCATCCACTTTATATCAAATGCCAGGATCGCATTGTTTTTTATGGCTGAGTAGTATTCCATAGAGTATATGTGCCACACTTTTTCAACCCATTTATCTGTTTGTGGACATTTGGGTTGGTTTCATGTCTTAGCAATTGTGAATAATGTTGCAATAAACATAGATTTGCAAACACGTTTCTGACTGAGCATTCTCCTGTCCTTTGGGTAGATACCCAAGAGTGGAATTACTGGATCGGATGGTAGTTCTATCTATAGGACTTTGAAGAAACTCCATATTGTTCTCCACAGTGACTGGACGAATTTACATTTGCACCAATAGTGTAGGAGAGTTCCCTTTTCACCACAACCCTGCCAGCACTTATCTCTCTCTTTTTTTAGAGAGAGATTTTTGCTATATGGCATATATACTTGCCAGAGAGGCAGAGACAGAGACAGAAAGTGAGAAATCATTCCCTGGGGGGATGGCCACACCACAATCTCTTCTTCACTGTACTCTCGGGATCTTGGGTATGCATGCACACACCTCTGGTGTGAACTTGAAGCTGCTGGGTCCAGGACTCAAACCATAGTCTACTATATGGGAGTCCAGCTACGTAACCATTACGCCATCCGCTGGTTCCCTTTTTTCTTTTTTTTATTTTTTATCTTCATTCTGATTGGGGTTAGGTGGTATCACATTATGGTTTTTATCTTCATCTTCCTTACGATAAGGGATATTGAGCATTTCTTCATATGCTTTTTGGCTGTTCATATGTTCTCTTTACAGAGTTGATTGATCATTTTCTCATCTTTTCATTCGGTTGATCTTTTTTTTTGGACTAAGCTGCTTGAGTTCCCTGTGTATTCTGGTTATCAGTCCCTTATCTGAGGTATAGTT